TCATTATTGTGCACTTCCGTGCCCCAGGCACTCTTTACTGCATTGCTAGAATTAGAATTTCCCACACTTAAGCCTTCGGGGTCCCGCCTTTGTGGGTTTTGCCAAATCACTTTACCACGTACGTCGGTTTACTAAAGGTTCTTTCCAGTCGAGACCCTTTTAAAATTTAAGTTTACCTGAAAATTTTTCTATCTACCATAAGTGAAAACTATTTTCACTTGTCAGGTGGAAGGTAATGATGAAAATGAATATACTTGATATGAAAACAGCATTGTTAATTCTGGGTAAATTTTATTGTCAAGGCTCTGAGGCAGCCCTTTCATTAGCAAAGGAACGTTGGCGTTCATAGATGTTAAAGACAAACTAGGAAAATGAGAGGTTCTCCCTGAAGCAAAAGTTTCTAAAAAAGAATGGGAGAGGGATTAACTTTCTCTGTCGGGGTTCAACATTAGTTCAGGTCACCCGTGTAAAGCCCCACGCCGGGACAACTGCATCTCCTTCCCCACTGGAGTGCTTCTTGGGTTAGTGTCAACAGGCCCCGAGGGAGGGGTTGTTATTCTCATTTGATCTGTGAGGAAACAGACCGACGGACAAGTGAAGTGACTTGTCCCAGGACCCCCATAGCCATAAAATAGTAGAGTGGAGACTCCAACTGAGGGCTTCTCTAATTCTACTCAGAAGGTGAGCCGTTGGCTCCCCTCAGTAAGTGTTGGTGACAAGTTCGTTGGGGTAAGTGGGGATAGTGCTTCCCACCTCGGGGCTGTGATGACAACCAGGAGAGGCAGCAGAGGGAGGATGCTTTGTGACCTTAGGGCCCCCATGAAATAAAGCTTCCATTCTTTAAAATTTTAAGATCAACCAGAGGTTGATGGCATTGCCAGATGAGATGGTGGCAAGACTAGGAGGCACAATAATGTAGTTGTCAGGAGCATTGAGTGGCATTAAATGGATCCAAGCTTTAGCATTCTAATTATGTGACTGTGGGCAAGTCATTCGCCTATCTGAGCCTCAGTGTTTTCATCTGTAAAATGATCCTCACCCTTACCCGAAAAGTTTGTTATAAGAATCAATGAGAACATACCCATAAAGTGCTTAAATCAAGGTTCAGCACATAGGGATCAGTCAGTATCGGGAATGTGCTTTGTATGCCAGGATAAGAAGTTTGGTTTGTGGGGGTGGCAGTGGTACCTTTAAAGGAGGTAGAGCTGGAGAAGATGAGTTCATCTGGACAGGGTGAGGATGAGTCCCCTTTTTACAGAGGATTAAACTGAAATTTTGGAGGGTTGAGTGATTTTTCATGAATTATCAAGGGGGAAAGTGACCAGAACTGCTCTTGAGACTTGAGTATTCTGACTCCAGGAAAATCTCTAATTTCAACTAAGGAAAATTTCAAAAGCTTTCTCCTCATCATAGGTCTCTGCTGTTTCCTCTGACCTCACCAACCAACCATGTCATCAGAATCGAGCAAAAAACGAAAGCCCAAAGTGATACGGAGTGATGGAGCTCCAGCTGAAGGGAAGCGTAATCGTTCTGACACTGAGCAGGTGAGATCAGCCAGGGTTGTCTTGCTGCTGAGAAATTCCAGCTTGTGGCCAAGCACCTGGCTGTGGGTTTGCAGCAGCTGAGGGTCATAGGGTAACCTCCCCAGAGGCCTCTGCTTGACAAGGTGCCGGGAATTCTCTTGGTTATACAAAATCTGAAGATCCACATCAGTTTTGTTTTTTTTTTTAGGAGAGCAAGGTACAGGCTTTTATTCAGAAATAAAGTGAGAGAATAGAGCTCCCTGCTCATGCCAAGGGGGGGGACAAGAGAGCCCATGATGGTGCGTTGTCTAGGGGTTTTATAGGCAACTGAGAATTTTTTGAGAACATCAAAAAAAAGGCTTAGCGGTGTGGACTTGTACCACCTGCCCTGCCCTCAAGGTGGGCTGGGTTATTATCTGTCTGCTAGGGCTCTTTACAGTGAAGTCATGGGTCATGCTGAGATACCCTTGCGGAACACTCAAACATTCCAGGTAAAGTTGCTTCTGGCCTTTTGACCTTTAACTGATCTCACTGAAGATGTCTATATTCTTAGTCTGGTATCTTTCCCTAGAGAATTAGTGGGATCCACATCAGTTTTAGCTGCAGTATCCCAAGAACCAGGAAGCCTGGACAGAGAATGTGTTCTGGTATGGTGTGTATGTTCAGTCCATCTGTAGCATGCCACTGGAACTTTGGAGATATGGCATTCCTGTACCAGACAGTTTCAGAACACGGGCCAGCAGAACTTCTTCTGTGGCCTGAAAGCTTACATGGTCAGCAGGTCGTTCTCCTTTTCGTTTTCTGAGTCCTTGAATCTGTCAAACCTATTTATGACTAAGTTGTTTTGATTGGTTGTTTTTTTGTTTATTTTTCAGCTAGAATAGAGAAATAAACCATCTTAAATCTAAATAGAAATGATGTATTTCAATTATAAGAGATTAAGATTAATGAAGAGCCTTATCTTTTTGGGAGCGTTGACTCTTTTAATTAAGGTATAATTGACACACCATTGTATTTTAGGTGCACAACATAAGATTCAGTATTTGTGTACAATGCAAAATGATGACCACCATAAATCTAGTTAACATCACTATCATAGTTACACATTTTTTGTGTGTGATAACTTTTAAGATCTACTCTTTTAGCAACTTTTAAGTATGGAATACTATATTGTTCACTGTAGATGACTCCTCCTTAAAGAGATCAGCCAGGGTTGTCTTGCTGCTGAGAAATTCCAGCTTGTGGCCAAGCACCTGGCTGTGGGTTTACAGCAGCTGAGGATAGGGTAACCTCCCCAGTGGCCTCTGCTTGACAAGGTGCCGGGAATTCTCTTGGCTATACAAAACCTGAGTATCCGAAAGCTGGAAGACAAATTATATTTTAGTCTCTGCTGAAGCTTAATTTGACCATCTGAACACCCACAGTAGGAATTTGGTTAAAGGAATTTTGGTTTATTTATATAATGACTTATCATGCAGTCATTTTCATAAAGATCTATATTTATTGGGGTGAGAAATTGTACTAAATAGCATGGACAATATAATCCCATTTTGTTTAAAAATAACAGTTGTATGTATCCATGGTATTAACAGTGGAGTTGTTTCAGACTGGGAAGTAAGAGTACAGGCAATTTATCATTCTGATAGCACCTCCCTATGTTCTGAATATTTGACCTAAGCATGCATTACTTTATAGAGGAAAAGAGGAATTTTTTTCCGTTTTGAAAAGAAGAAAAACATTTGATTTGAGGACTAGATCCTTTAGAGACCTGATTTGGTTCTGACAGGGAACTTTTACTCACTACCTAAAGCCTGTATCTTTGCTCCACAGGAAGGTAAATACTACAGCGAGGAAGCTGAAGTGGACCGGCGGGACCCTGGCAAAGACTATGAGCTGTACAAGTACACTTGCCAGGAGTTGCAGAGGCTCATGGCCGAGATCCAGGACGTGAAGAGCAGGGGAGGCAAGGATGTGGTAAGGAGTAGGACTGGGTAGAAATGAACCGAGTGGGTCTGCACAAATGGACCTGTTCCATGTCTACGAGAGCCCTTTGTAATCTTGTCTTCTGTTCTAGCCATGATCAGGTGGATGGAGCCTGAGGGCTCCAGAGACATGCCTATTGATTTTTTGGAATATCTCACCACCACCCAATCATCAATTACAGTAATAAAAGTACAGGATAATTTTTCCCACAATTGTAATCTGATAATTCATCCAACTAATAATTTATTAAGTGCTAGGCATTTTGCTCAGTGCTGAGAAATGATGATACACGTAAATTCCCTTGCTGTTACAAGGATGGATATATACAAGTAAATAATAAAGATTAACAATGACATTGTTAATAGTAAATAAATAAACCAGACTTTAGGGCAGAAAAACTAAAGAAAATGACTAAAAATAGGTGGATAAGTTCAAAACAAAACAAGCCATATTTTTTCCAGGAATTTCACTTATTTGTGTTTATATTGACCAATTTCACTTACTTGTGTTTATAAGATTATTGCATCTTACCTGTTTTATTGTAGCCAAACTTTGCAGCTATAGTTCTGCTACTTTCATTTAAATTATTTTATAATATTATTCAAATTGTATGGCTAGATATTGCTGTTGTTAGGATCTCTCTGCTTCATCTTCAATTCCTGTTACTTTGGTCCAAGCAGAAATTGCTTTTTTGCCTAGAAACCTTAAGCATTTCCCTTATGCGGTCTTTCTTCCATTTCACTGTGACGCCACTCATAGTTCTGAGCTCCTAGTGTCTATTTTTGACCCTGGATGAGGAATGGCCGACAGTAAGGGGTTGAAGGAAGCTGAGCCAGCATCTGTTGTCAAGGTCCTGACCAGTTTTCTTTGCCCGCAGGCAGTTGAGATTGAAGAACGCAAGATCCAGAGCTGTGTGCATTTCATGACTCTAAAGAAGCTTAACCGGTTAGCGCACATCAGGCTGAAGAAAGGGAGAGACCAGACCCACGAGGTGAGAGCTGAGAGGTTTAACCCTCCTCTCCTCTCATCCCTGTCTTGATCCCCGTTGCCTCCTCTGAGCGTGCTGCCACTCTGCTCTGCCCCACCCCAACCTGCCTCACTCACCTCTGACCTTGTCCTCCTTTCAGGCCAAGCTGAAAGTAGACGCCTACCACCTCCAGCTCCAGAACCTGTTGTACGAGGTGATGCACTTACAGAAGGAGATCACCAAATGTCTGGAGTTTAAGTGAGTTTTGGCGGACAGGGCTTTGGCAAGATGGTCTGTTGGTAACTGCTTTTCCCTGTATGGCTCAGTGTGAGCTAGTCTATTTAAAAATAAGTCAAATGAGCTTAGAGACTGCAGGATCTGGGAGAAGGATGAATCGATCACTTTGAGTGGAAGAGTTGGAAGCAGTATTTTCAGGCTGCACAAAGAACTTGAAAGCCCATCAGACTCTCTTTAGTTTTGAACTCTGTACCTGGTCAGAAGCAGTTGTCTCTCCCCAGCAGGGAGGGGCCTGTACATTACCAGTCTGATTCGTGAGCATCTTGTGTAGGAGCAATGCACTTCAGTCACGTGCCTTAACCTTTTGGCTCAGTTTTCCTCCCTAAGGTTTCAGCAACTGTTTTTGCAAATCACTTTTATTTGTTAGAAACTGAACTTGTTGCTGCTTAGCTGTCTTCAGGTGAACAAACTATACACTTTGTCAGCATCCTTCTTAGAAGTAATTCCTCTTGGCAGCCCAAGCTGAGAGATAGGAAGGAAGGAATAGACAGGAAGAGAAGGGAACAGTTTCTTGCTTAGTCAGACCTGTTTGTGCAAACTGAAAGGAAGCAGATTTTATTTATAATAAACTTAGGATGAGGGGGGCACGTTAGACATAGGATTTGATGTATTTTTAATAATTATGCTGATTTTGGGGAGGCATCTTTATATGCTCCACAAATTCATCACATAATACTTAAATGCTAATAAAGGTGAAATTTACATTACAGCTGTACCTGAATTAGTAGTATTGTGCCCTTGTCAGTTTCCTGATTTTGACAAGGTACTATGCTTAGATAAGATTGTATCATTGGGGGAACCCAGGGGAAGGGTGCATGGAGGAAATAAACTCTCATTATTTTTGAAACTTCTGATGAGTCTTAAACTGTTTAAAAATAAAAAGATATAACAACAAAATAAAAGAATGTGGTGCATCCACTTGTAATCATCACTCAGGTGAAAGCTGACAGATTCACAAACAGTGGAATTCGGGCTTATTGGAGAGGCAGGTGGCCACAGTGGGCCCGGGAGTCAGACAGCCTGGGTTCAAATCCCACCTCTGTTCAATCCCATTCATTAGCTGTGTGAGCTAGGGCAAGCTGCTTAACTATGGAAGCCTTCATCTCATTTGAAAAATGGAGATAAAAAATCCCTATATCATACTTACTGTAAGAATTAAGTGAGGTGAGGATGGCAGAGAGTGGGTACTTAATACATAGTAGCATCTGTTATTATTAGCATCATCTGTCCACACCTGTAACTGCTATGTTGATACAGGAAAGAGTATTGGATTTCCTTTCTGTGATACATGTGTCAGTATACATGCAGCAGTTAATGCCTCTGGATCTTCACATCTGGCTGTGCCATGCTGGATCTTCCCCATCCCATGCTTATGCAGTTAGTGTTTTGAACTTAAGTGCAGACCCTTATGTTTATTTCTGTTAAATTATATTTCTTGGTGTCAACCTGACAGCCTAGGCTTAGGCTGTTGGCTTTCTTATTTGTCTCTTTAGGCTCCTAGTTCTCTGATTTGGCTTAGAGACATCTGTAAACTTAATAAGCATCCCTTCCAGGTCTTTGGCTAATTCATGCATAAAAAGGTTGGAAAGCATGGATAAGGAGCCTATGGCATGTCACCAACTACTTGTCTTCAAACTGAAACATCTGTTAATGAGCATTTGCTGAGCAGACTGGATTCCAGCTTCCTGAGGAGTTGTAGACCATGGCTAGCTGGGCATACACCAGCAAAACTGTGGGCCTGCCTAAGCCACAATTTGGGTTCCTGAGAATGACAGCTTGACATCTAATTTTTGCCTGTAGGTCAAAGCATGAAGAAATTGATCTGGTCAGTTTAGAGGAATTTTATAGGGAGGCTCCTCCAGATATCAGCAAGGCTGAAATCACCATGGGGGACCCTCACCAGCAAACTCTTGCACGTCTGGACTGGGAGCTGGAGCAGCGGAAAAGGTAATGTTTCCTCCTTTGACCTGTGCGGATATGGACTTTTAACCATGGGAAACTGCTTTGTCATAACCTACAATCAGATAACAAAGCACTTGAAACCAACATAGCAGTTTCTGAGACCAAATCCCATTCTGTGATTGATTCACATCTGACAGTTCTACCTTGGCCAGCCACATTATGGGTGGGGTTAGAGTTGTTAAAGGCTGTTAACAGAAAATCAGAGTAACTTTTCCTTTAAAATTTTAATACCCAAGACCTAAAAAACACTTTTTGTACCATAAAATCTAATTATGTTTTTTACCTTTTCTCCTTGCCCATAAGAATATCCCTGTGGTATTTTAAAGCTTTGCAAACATTTTAGAAGGTTGTACAACATTTGCTTTTATAAACAAATAGTTCACATAATCATCACCCTACTGGACTGGACCTCTACGTTGGTTTCATTTTTTGCTATTATAAATAATGCTTCAAGGAATACTTTTACATATAACACTGTCCTGTTCTATTAAAGAGCTTTTGTTAACTGCAGATAGAATGTTTTTAGTTTGTAGCTTAATCTAACTGTTTCTAAGAATATAGTGTATTTTTTTCATACTGGACTTCTCATGGCTGCATCCATTCCATTATGACCTTTCTCTCATACTTGTACAAGAATTCTAGGGCTTTTGGTTGGCATATTTGCTGTTTTTTGCTGGAGAAGCAGCTGTTTCTAATTCCTTGCTTTTTTCTGTTACATAATGCATTCTGTGATTTCGGTTCAGTTATGAATTTAGTAAGCACAGAGTCTGGTTATTGGGAAATTAGTGCCTGTTGTTCATCAGCGGGGCTGGCCTGTTACTCCCCTATCCAGCACACCACTTGCCCTGGGCACAGGCTAAGCCCTGAGTGTCGCTTTCCTATGGCACTGATCTGGAATCCAGCCCCAACTTGGCTCTACTCAGGCCAGTCTGAGGGCCTCTTTTGGGTCCATTAGCTGCTAGGTCCACATGTTTGTGAAAGTTTGGGGTCTAGCCTCTAGAGGCAAGCAGTGAAGCGGGAGATAACACAGGGGCGTTCTCTAATGGTTACGGGCAGAGCCCCTGGAACCAGACAGGCATGAATTCAAAGTCCAGCTCTGTGCTTGCCCATAGCTGGCTGGCCTTGGGCAAGTTACCTGCCTCCCTGAGCCTTCATTTCTTTCTTTAGGGATAAGAAAGATCCCTATTTTCCAAGGTTTTTATAAGGATAAATGCAATAATACTTAAAAGAGTTCTCCAAAGTGCCTGGCACATAGTAAGTGCTAGGTAAACATGAGCCAATCATGACTGCTGTCATTAGGTGAATTCTAACAATGAAAAGGTGTGTCAGGATAGCCCTGGGGAGCATTGAGTGCCAGTGCTCTGTCCTCCTCCAACAGGCTGGCAGAGAAGTACCAAGAATGCCTGTCCAGCAAGGAGAAGATCCTCAAGGAGATAGAGGTGAAGAAGGAGTATCTGAGCAGCCTCCAGCCTCGTCTCAACAGCATCATGCAGGTGAGGGTCTCCTCCCACACACCTCCTCGTCGGCCTTTTGCTTTGCCTTCACTGTGCAGGGAGACCTTGCTGATGTGAGGTTTCCAGCCGTCTCCCTTCGGGTTTTGCTAGGTGTGTTACCCTAGTTGAGATTAGAACACAGTGCAAGGACGGCCTGTCTTCAGTCCCACCCAGTGGCTAGAATAAGGTTGTGTCCCGGGTGGAAGAGATGCTGGCCAGGTGGGCTCAGAAACATATACACACATTTACCTGAGATGTTTTCTTTTCACCCAAAGCCACCTCCAGGTAAAACACTTGTGAACCTACGTTTAATTTACCCCCTGCCTGATCTCCACCAGCCCTTCAGTGGCGAGCATCCTGCTGTGGATATCAGTTAGATCCCCCTGACTGCACCTCAGGGGCAGATGCTCAGCAGGTCTGCTCACTCTGAAAAGACATTTACTCCTATTTGAAAGCTACTAAGTACCTTAGGAGAAAAAGTCCCCACTTTACCTGCAAAATGTAATGTCTTTCGTATAGGTAACCTGATTTTTGTTTGCTTTGTGAAGCCATATTTGAAGCAGGGTAAATGGTTAATATGGAGGAACTTGGAAAAGAACACTAGAGAAATTATAAATTCACTTTTTAAGGATTTGGCAACCCTTCAGCTTTGGCATAGAATTAGAATTGTTAACAGAAATACTCAGTAGCGCTTCATAATAGGACAGAAAAGAAACAAACAAAGTTTGGGTTCTGCTTAATTTTTCCTGTTAACTGGAAATTCTTTAGATGTCCATAAACAGGGTACAGGTTAAGTAAATTCTTATATGGCACAGTCTTACAGCTGTAATGGAAATACGGAACATCATATCACTGATAGAATGACTGGACAGAAAAATCTGTCATATCATTAAAACAAAACAGTGCAAGTTGTAGAACATAAAGTGTGACCTCATTTGTATACCTTCGTTTACAAAGTATCTGTATGTATATACACCTGTGTAAGTCCAGCATGTGCTTAGGAAAGTCTGCTAACAGCTTTGGGGGTGGGAACTGGGAGTTTTTGTTTATAAACTTGAATGCAGCCTTTTAAAACAATGTCCATATATTACTTTTATAAAAGTAATTTTACGTATAAAAAAGCATACAGCTCATAAGTGTTGAGCTCAGTGAATATTCACTAAGTGAACACATCAGTGTAACCAGCACCCAAATCAAGAAAAAGAACATTACCTATTTTCCAGAAGCTACTTTATTCCCTTATCCCAGTCACTATCTTTTCCCACCCACTACTAACCATTATCTTGACTTCTAATCTCATAGGTTAGTTTGGTCTGTTTGTTAATTTACACAAATGGAATCATAGAGTATATACTCTTGTGTCTGGCTTCTTTGGCTTAACAGTATGTTTGTGAGATTCACCTGTGCTGTTGCAAGTATCAGGAGTTTTTGTTTTCATTGAGCTTAATATTTGATGGTGGATGTTTCCAGTTTGGGTCTATTATGAATAGTGCTGCTCTGAACATTCTTAAAAGTGTGCACATGCATACATATTTCTGTTGAATATATTACCCAGGAATGAAATACTTGGGTCATAGAGTAAGCTATGCATATGTTTAGCTTTAGTAGACACCAAAATGTTTTTAAAGCAATTGTACTGATTTACAGAAGTCTTCCCTAGCACTGTATGAAAATTCTAATTGTTGCATATCCTCATCAACACTTGATATTGTCAGTCATCTTAATGTGGAGGGCACTGCTTATGGTTTCAGTTTCCCTTTCTGTGGGGACCAGTGGTGTTGAGCGCAGCACTTTTTGTATGTGTATTGGCTTTTGGATTACCTCTGTAATCCAAGTCTTCTGCCCATTTTTCTGTTGGGTTGCTTAGCGTTCTTTATATTTTCTGGAGATGAGTCTTCTGCAGATGTCTTTCCCATTCTGTGACTTCCCTTTTCACTCTTGTAATGGTATCTTTTAATGAGCAGATGTTCTTAATTTTAATATGGTCTAATTATCAATATTTCCCATTATGGTTAGTGCTTTTGTGTCCTGTTTCAGAAATCTTTCTCTGTCCCAAGCTTATGAGGTACTCTTTTGTTTTCTTACAGAAGCTGTATTACTTACCCTACACATTTAGATCTGTAGTCTTCCTGGAAGTAAATTTTGTGTATAGTGTGAGGTAAAGGTCATATTCATTTTCTTTTTTCCATGCAGGTATTCAGCCAACTCCTTTATGGAAGACCATTCTTTCCCCACTGGTTCTCCAGCCACTTTGTTGTAAATCCAATGCCTGTGTGTGTGTAGGTTTGCATCATCTATTTGTTTATCCACGCACTGGTATCGCAGTGTCTTACTCACCGTAGCTTTATCAGAAATCTCAGTGCTTGGTGATGTAAGTCCTCCCACTTAATTTTTCAGGATTGCCTTGATTATTATTGGCCCTTTGCATTTACCTGTAAATTTTATAATCAACTAGTGTATTTTAACTTGCCGGAATTTAGACTGGGATTGCACTGAATCTGTAGATTACCTTGAAGAAAATTGACATCTGGACAATACTGAGTCTTCAGGCTATTAATACAGCGTATACCTCCACTCATTTAGATCTTTCATTCTCAGGTCTGTAGAATCTTACACACCTTTCATTTATTTATTCTTAGGTTATTTGGTTTTCTTGATACTGTTGGAAGTGGTATCTTTTCTCAAGTTCATTTTCTTGCTGTTTATTGCTTGCATAAATAAATATAATTCATTTTTTATATTGACCTTTTATCCACCTATTAATTCTGTTAGATTATCATATATCACTTTCATAAATAAAAAAACTATATATGGTAACTAAGTAGCCACATGTTCATATTTCTTGAACAGGAAATACAAGAGTCTTTCTTTTGTTGTGTGCAGGCTTCCCTCCCAGTGCAAGAGTATCTGTTCATGCCGTTCGACCAGGCTCACAAGCAATATGAGACAGCCAGACACCTGCCACCTCCCCTCTATGTCCTCTTTGTCCAGGCCACTGCATATGGGCAGGCCTGTGGTGAGTACTGGGACTGGATAAGGAAGAGGGGCTGTGGGAGCAGCAGCCGTGGCCGACTGAATCGTTTGGACGTGCTGCCTGCTGAGCAAAGCTCCCTGGCCCTGCTCAGAAGCCCTCAGGTGACAGATGCTGCCTTCCCTGTGCACCGCCCAGCATGGCTATTTTGACCAGCTGTCAGAAGGCTGGCTGGACTAACCTGATGGGCATTTCAGAATGGATGGCTTTGATGAGCCTGGCTGGTTGGCTGTTGGGTGCAGTGCCCAGGCAGCCTGTCTGGGCTCCCAGCTACTCACCCCATTAAGGCATGCTTGGCAAGTGGATTGGCGCCTCTTGCTCCGCTTCAGAGAGAGGGCTTGGTAAACACAGGGCCCAGCCAGCTCTCCCAGGCTTTCACCATGCCCCAAACAGGCTGCATGTCATTACAGTGAATAAGCAGGTGAGGGATGTGTCCTCATTAAACTTAAGGGCAGCCCTTTACTCCTCTAGGGTTTTGAGAAGTTTCTGGAGCCCCTACCTCTTGTCTACTGCAGCTTTTACCCAGCACCTAAACTTTTCTTCCCTGCCCCCCTTACCTCCCACCCCATCGGACACATTTTGCATGCTTCTCCCAGCCATGGGCACCGACACATTACCATCTCTTCTTGTGTCTCCCTGGTCCTTCTGGTCCTATCCCTCCCCCTTGTCGCCCTCCTTTTTCCACCATCAGCTCATATGAAATCCTCCCAGCCCCCTAGACAGGGTGAGTAATTTTCTTTTCTTTTGTGTTTTAAAACCCAGCCTGTTTCCATTCCCATTTTACTGTAGAATTTCAGAATTAAACTACTCAAAGAACAGTTGGCATTTGTCAGTGGTTGAGGGGCAGCCATCTTGTTTGGAGTGTGGTGTGATAGTTCCTACAGGGCTGTCAGTGAGAGTAGTGGCCTGGGGGAGGTTTGCTATCCTTCATAGTGCACTCAGGCATACTGTTTCAGGCTCCTGCAACTATCTGTACTCTGTTTACCTTTTTGAATGGAGCAGGAGGCGTGGTGGCCTGTCTGACCTCCTGGCATTAGACCCACAGAATTCCACACAGGTGGGCCCAGGCATTACTCAGAGGTGTCAGACCTAGTGCATGGAACAGGCCAGTTAGCTTCATGCTTGAGACACCAAGCTTGAGCTGAACAGACCTGCTCTTGTCCTAGATTATCTACTTTCTGGCTATTGTATCTAACTTCTCTGAGCCTTAATTTTCTCATCTGTAAATGGCCATGATAATAGTATTGGTCATGTGGAGCTGTGAAGATTAAAAAATTTTTAAGGCTAATTTTATAATTAAAATTATAGGCATCAGCTCATTCAGTCATTGACACCGAGCTGGGCAGCTAAAACTTGCCAAGTCTCTGTTTTATAGATGTGGAAACTGGAGCTCAGAGCAGTGACATAATTTTCCAGGCCACGTGTTTGGGAATCGGTGGGGCAGGATCCCAGTCCCTACCCACTGTCCTGCCTCCCAGTTAAATGGGGCGGTGCCAGTCAGGTGCTTGGTGGGGTGCAGAATAGAGAGTAAGCACTTAGGTGAGAGCCGTTGTGTCTGGGATGTGGATGGTGGACAGAGCGTCTGGATGAGAACCTTTAAGAGAGTTGGCAGAAGACTACCGTGTGGCTTTAGGCCCTAGGTCAGGGTTTCTGTGCCTTGGTGTAAGCCTGAGAAGAGAAGCATTCACCGCAGCTTCAGGGGATGCTTGCCCAAGAATCTGCATTTTGGGTTCTTTGTTCTCAATAAATGATGAAAGAAAGACTTAAGTTTCCTACCTGGTTTCTCTTCATCTGGAGAGAGGGCTTTTGCCTTCCCGACCCAGACGGTAAGGGGCTGTGACACAGGTGGGGGAGGTGCAGCCCCAGGTGCAGTGTCCACCAGCCTGCTGTGTAGCTTAGCTCCTTCCCTCAGTGCTGTCACATGAAGCTTTTTCTTGCTCCCAGATAAGATGTTGTCTGTGGCGATTGAAGGCAGTGTGGACGAAGCCAAGGCTCTATTTAAGCCTCCCGAGGACTCCCAAGGTAAGATTCTGGTCCTTATCCCCCCCTAATTCTTCCATAGCTGGTTCCAGGGACACCATGTCACTATCCAAGGGCAGTGCCGTTCCTTTGGAAGTTGTATTAGTTCTGTGTAGAAGGGAACTTGGCTTTAATGTCTTAGTGCTCAGGGGTAGACAGGGAAAAGCAGTGTCTTTGAATTTCAGCCCTGCCACTAACTGGCTCACTGAACCTTGGGAAGCTCTGGAGAATTTCTGGGCCTCAAGTTCCCTCACCAGTTAGAGCAGGATAGTAATACCTCATGTAGAATTATTAAGTGGATTAAATGAAGTCATGCATGCACATCTCTTAGCATCATTCTCACCACATAGCAACTCCTCAAATTATATGAGCAGCTGTTGTTATTTGTGATATGATTATTGTTACCAGCACCACAGTCATTGGAGAGGTTTGTGGTCCATAGGATGACGTTAAAAAGCTCTTTCAAAAATGGGTAGTGGGATTATAGGTCATTCCTCTCTTCTTTTTTCTTGCATCACCATGTTTTCTATACTGAATAAGAAACATTAAATAAATTTATTATTTATTCTAAAGAATCCATTTACAAATAACAGTCTGGGCCCCTCTACACTCTGTGGTTTGAGGTGCTGTAGAGAACCCTGGGAGCCCCCTCACCTCCAGGTGCCCTCTCTTTGTGGCTGCAGATGACGAGAGCGACTCGGATGCTGAGGAGGAGCAGACCACGGTGAGAGCTGGTTCCTCTCGGGGGCATGTGAAGCACCTGCACCGGGGCCTGCTAGCTGGCAGGTGCCATCCTCCCTAGAAACAGAAGGAGAAGGTTTGAAAGAAAGGCCGCTGGGAGTCTGGCAGCCAGATAGTCAAAACAGCAGGTCCCAGGCAGCAGTGCTGAGGCCCTGGCAGTAGGAACAAGGAACAGGGAGATCCGTGTGACCAGTGTTCATCTGCTGTGTTCTTTCCTTTGTCTAGAAACGTCGGCGACCCACACTGGGAGTTCAGTTGGATGACAAGCGCAAGGAGATGCTGAAGAGGCATCCGCTGTCTGTCATGCTGGACGTGAAGTGCAAAGGTCTGGTTCCCCTTTCTCTGGAGGAATCCCATAGCACCTAAGAGTTTGGCCAGCTGCAGGTACACAGAATTTAGCAAGCCAGAGACCTTTGCCCAAGAAGAGATTCTGGTGTCATGTTTCTCTGTTTTCCTGATTTTTTTTCCCTAAGTCATAGTAACAAAACTAGACACCTAAGAGATGCTTAATAAAACTAGAAGTAGGTATTTCTGAATTTGACAAGTCACATACACAGAACAAGTTTCAAAGTATGCTTGTTTTAAGTAATAAGACCAACCTCCTTAATTTAATAAATGTAAGTAAAACTTTGTATTCCACAGAGAGCATATATTCTGAACACATAATAAAGCATTCCAGCAGAATAAAAGTTAACAGTCAAATGTAAGTTTCCCTCTCACCCTAGACTTCCAGACTCTGGTCCTTGGTCTTACCTCCGGGGACAACCATTGTGACAGGCTTCTTACGAATTTTCTAGAAATAGTCTATGCATTTGGAGGCTTTTATGCAATTGTATATTTACTCCCTCCCCCTTTTATTTTTTACACAAATGGAAACATACTCCACACACTGGTCCTCTCTTTGCCTATTTAAAAGAAGCGTTTAATTTTGAGACCATTTTAGACTTGGGAGAGTTGCCCTGGTAAGGCAGAGAGTTCATGTGTGCTTTTCACCCAGCTTCCCTCAGTGGCGACATCTACACTATACTACCGTCCTCGGCACCAGTGTTAATGTTGTTGGTACAGTACTGTTCAGTAAGCTACAGAATTTATTCACATTTCCTTGTTTTTTCCACTACTGTCCTTCTTGTGTTCCAGGATCCAGTTCAGAATCTCATATTGCACTTAGTCATCATGCCCCTTAGTGTCCTCCAGGCAGCCACAGTCCCTCAGTTTTTACTTGTCTTTGATGACCTTGACATTCTTGAAGACAAAGTTTGTTTATTATGTAGAAAAACACTCTCATTTGGGCTTGTCTGGTGTTCTCTCCTGAATGGACTGAGGTTATGGATTTGGGGGTGGAATACCATCAGCATGATACTCATTTTTTAATATCAGGATCACATGGTATCATTGTATCTTTGTGTTGGTGATGTCAGTTAACCTGGATTCACTTGGTGATCACTTGATCACTCCCTATCCACACTCTTTTTTTTTAATTTTTTATTTTTTTATTAAGGTGGTATTGATACACACTCTTATGAAGGTTTCACATGAAAAACAATGTGGTGACTCATAGAACTCAAGAATGGACTAACAGTTGCCAAAGGGAAAGGGACTGGGGAGATGGGTGGGAAGTGAGGGAGAAGGGGAATAAGGGGCATTACAATTAGCACACATAATGTAGGTGGGGCACGGGGAATACAGTATATCACAGAGAAGACAAGTAGTGACTCTATAGCATCTTATACTGATGGACAGTTGACTGTAATGGGGTAAGTGGTAGGGACTTGATAATGGGGAATCTAGTAGCTACAATGTTGCTCATGTAATTGTATATTAATGATACCAAAAGAAAAAGAAAAACAATGTAGTTACTACATTCACCCATATTATTGAGTCCCCCCCATACCCCATTGCAGTCACTGTCCATCAGCCACACTGTATTTTTGTTAGAAGCAGAATCTCTAGGTCCAGCCCACACTTAATGGGGAGAGAAATGAAGCTCCACCTCTTGGAGGGAGGAGTAACAAAGAATCTGTAAACATTCCTTTTTACTCAACATTAAATTGTGATTGGGTTTTTGTTTTTGTAGTAGAAGATCTTAAAAACCTCATTGGCTTTCCTTTCCGTAATACCATTGACTCTGCTTCCCTGCTTAACTCGTAACTGGTCTGTTCTCTTCCTCCAGATGACAGTGTGCTTCACCTGACTTTCTACTACCTCATGAACCTCAACATCATGACAGTAAAAGCCAAAGTGACAACCACTGCAGAGCTGATCACCCCCATCAGTGCAGGGTACGGGGCAGGTGCTACGGAGAGTGGGGCATGGGAGCCACGTGTGACGAGGACCCCAGGGGTGGGGCGTGGGAGCCCGTGTGATGAGGACCTTGGTGCTGAGCTGCTCTTGGTTCCTCTCGGGTCTCACTCTGACGAGGTGCGTGGCTGCATTGACTCTATTGTCATGTCCACATGGCCTAGGAGTCCTGGTACATCACTGATACTGAGAAAGTACTCACTGACTAATTGGTTAAGTCCTCTTAACTACACAGCCGATGAGAAAAGTGACTACAGCATACTGCAAATTGAGTAGGTAGGGCAGAGCACCAGCTTTTTACAACCACTGGGAAGAAGGTGAATATAAAAACAAGATTTGGCAGACATTATCAGGGTGACAAATTTAGGCTTCTTGCCTCCTTTTCTCTTTCTGTTTCAAGGTGCTGGATTTTTGCTTGATACCTGTGCTTGAGAATGTTTGACGACCCAGGGCCACCCTGGATGAAATTGACCCTGTTCCCACCTGAGCCCAGCAGAGGGCGCCTAGGGCTTGCTTCTTCAGAGCTCAGTCCATTGGGCAGCCCCGAGGCCCTGGAGGGCCCTGGTCGTGGTGGAGCTCCTCGTCATGAGCATTCTGCCTTCTCATCTTTCAGATGCCTTATCTGCTAACAACAGGGCTGCAGGCTGTGCTCAGTGCACCCTTAACCCCAGCTTCTTGTTAGCTCTCTGTGTAACTGAGCCCTGCTCACAGAGCTCCAGTGAGGCCTGGGTCTCCCTCTTACAGCTGTGCGTGCACGCATAGCCACGTTTCCTGGCCTCTGAATCTGCTTCCTCACTCTGGTTGTTAATTGTGATATCCCCGTCCAGGGTGCTTGTGACAAGTCAGGTCAAGTGCTGTGCATAGAAGCACTTGGTAAGTGACAGCTGTGATTATCATCAGCTCACTTTACACTTCAAGGAGCTCTGTGAGGTGAGGAAGCAGTACCACCATATCATGCTTGCGTTACAGCCAGGCGAACCCTGGCCCCCAGGGAGGGAGGAGATGCCACCCTGAAACCAGGATCAGGTCTTCATAGGGCCTTCAGGTCTTGTCTTGCTCAACCCCTATTTTACATAGAGAGAAACTGAGGTCCAGGGGGCATATGACCACTGAGGAAGCCCTGGGCCTAGAGCTCCAGACTCGCGCCCAGTGGTCTTTGCTCAGGTGCGAGCTGCTTTAGCCCCTGGAGATAACAGCCTGGTCTGTGGTCTTATTAATTTATCTATGAAAACAGATAACTTTTGTTTTTGTTTCAGTATAATCACAGTATCACACTAATCCCTCAGTGTCATCCAATATCCAGTCAGAATTCAGAATTCTCCTGATTTTCTAATAAGTGTTTTTGGTTGTTTTGTTTTGTTTTTACAGTGTGGGTTTTGAATCTGGATTTCTGTAGGTCTGTGTGTTGCCACTGGGTGAAGCTTTTCTCAAGGATCTTCTGATCTGAATGTCCTGCCTTCTCTTTATTTGTCGAGGAAAGTGAGTTGTTTGCTCTGTAGGTTTCCTCCAGTCTGGACTTCGATGACTGCATACCTATAGTGCCATTTAATAGGTTACTCCTGTCCCCTGTATTTCATGTAAGTTGTAGTTAGGTTTAGAGGCTCAGTCAGATTCCATTTTGATCTTTGGGGCTGGGGCAGAGGGCCCGGACTGTGGCATAGCTGTTGAGGGCTGCCCTCAGGAGGCACAGGCCGGCTCTATTTTTGTGATGTTAGCAGCATTGACAGTTGTTGCCAGGACCTGTTAATTCATTAGGGAATTTGTTTTTAATACAAACATTTTAATTAGAATTGTACCAGCCTTGCTGAGTTTTCCTCAGATTATTTCCCAGAATGATCTCCATTAGTGCGTTTTAATTCATTAATCAATTTTCATTAAGCCATTCAACTATTTTTAATCTTTTTGTATTTTTATTTTATAAGGTTTTTTTAATCCCTTTTCCAGTAAAATTTTATAACATAAATATTACTAACTGAGTGGTTTTTTGTTTTGGTGTTGTGTTTTTATAACTATATATATAGCCTCCCTTTTTATGTCCATCATTCTAACCAAATTCAGTTGTCCTGGGCCATGTATTACAGACATAAATCTTGTCAAGAAGATTTTATTCTTCCATCGTGTTTTGTCAATTAGAAACCCTTATGTGCAGTTTTAGTTCTGTTTTATTTTGGTTAATTCATCCTGTTAGTAATAGTCACTGAATATTAGCCAAGACTGACACTTACCTATTCATTTTCTAGCTAGTTCTCCATGTGAGGTGGTGAAGGAGGCTGAGACCCTTCAGGGCAGAGAGACTCCAGGAGAGGCAGAGAACAAAGAAGAGTCAGAAGCTGCCCCAGTGTTAAGTTCCCAAAGGCATGCCAGCCCTGGGAGCAGCAGGACCAGCCTGTTCTGCCTAAGGTGCTCCCCGTGCTATCCCTGGAAAGACGGAGAACCCCTGCTGGTTGTGGGAAAGAACAGGCTTTGTTGTCCTTTGTGTGATCAGATTACTCCATTATTCTCCCCTCTGCCCATCTCTTCTCTGCCTGTCACATTTAATTACAGGCTGTGCGCTGACCCGGTCCAGGTGGATGGCAGTGGCATCGCTGTCTCTCTTTACTTACAGTGCTGGGTCACCTTGTCTCCAGTGCACGTGATCATGTCTTTTTTGGGAGAATATAAAGGGGGTCTTTTGTGAGTAGCATGAAATTGGTGAAAAGTGAGGTAGATACAGCACCAAAACTGTATGTACACTTGTTTTTTTCTGGGATAGAAAGGAATCTGTTCTGCCCTTAGGAAAACTATGATTATTTCTATATCCAGTGTCACAGGGCTTTGCTCCCCTGAGGTAAGGCCTAGCCATCGTATAACTCATGAAAAGATAGGGTTTTTTTTTAACTTGGTGGTGAAGAGTACTTCTGTCCTTGATCAGATGGCACACATCCTGGCTCCAGTGCTTAGTAGCCTGTGATCTGGTACAAGCCGTATCTTTCAAAGCCCCGAGTTTCTTCTCTGTAAAATGGAAATACTAATGCTTCCTACCTCATAGGGTTGTGAGGCTCGGATGACCTCAAGCACATAAAGGATCTGGCCCACAGGTGGCATTGATCATCAGTGAGAGGTGGTATTGCCATGCCCAGATCTGCCTTGAGGCAAGGTGTTACCTGACAGTCTCACTGAAGTCTTCTTATTTTCCAGTGACTTGCTGTCCCCTGACTCAGTCCTGAGCTGTTTGTATCCTGGGGATCATGGAAAGAAAACTCCGAATCCAGCCAATCAGTATCAGTTTGATAAAGTCGGGTGAGTCAGCAACTTCCTCCTGTCCCAGCCTCTCTGCTTCTGAGTTTCTCTGGTGGCTGAAGCTCAGCGCTGGAGACCTGCAAGGCCAGGGGCCTCTCAGAGGGCAGAGGACCTAGGGGCAGGAGGGAGTGCCGTGTCAGGAGACGGGAACACACTCTTTCCTGCTTACGTGGCAAACGGAGGTCACGGGCGAGGGAAAGGATGGCAGGATCAAAGCTTGGTGACCATGCTAAAAACGTGATACAGTAAAAATGTTGGACATTTTAATTCCCTGAAAATTAAAAAATTTTAAAGTATTTTATAAATCGGTAGACCAGTTGGTGAAGAGAGTGAGTGCATTACCTTTTTATTGAGATTTGCTTATGAGTTGAAGGCTGTCAGGGAAAAAAGAGAAAAGTGAACCTGGAAAAGATGAAATTCACAGTAAGGAACCGATGAAGTTAGGAGGCTTGTTGGCAGCCTGACTGAGTCTGACTGAGCCTGTGGGACCAGCCTGTTTGCAGGGCATGGGAGGAATGCTATGTCCAGGGACCACTGAAGGACTTAAAAACCATTTTATCCTGTTCTTTTCTGTAGCATCCTAACTTTGAGAGATTACGTACTTGACCTGGGTCACCCCTATTTGTGGGTTCAGAAGCTGGGTGGCCTCCACTTCCCCAAAGAGCAGCCCCAGGTATGTACACTGATCCAGTCTCCTCGGCTAAGGAGTTCTACTTTGTCTTCTCCCATACAGACTCCAGAAAAACTTGCCTTTGGGGGTTTTAAACTAGCAGAATGCTTTCCCTCAGGGCTATAATCTCTTCTCTCTCTCCCTTCAGGACAACCACAAATGTTTAGGACCTTTTGCTTTCTCACAGAGCCTAGTAGCCTTCTAGATCGAAGCAACGTATGTCTTTGCTCTGGGTGCAGCACAGCTCTAGGCTCTGCTGCCCCTCTGTCTTGTGTACAAAGATCAAAGATGCCAGAAATGGGGTGTGAACAGAATCCCAGGGGGTCTGACACCTTAGCAAAAGTCTTTTCTCAGGAGGTGGCCACAGCTTCTTGAGAACCCAGCAGCTTGTGTATTGTTCTGCTGGAACTCAGCGTCTGGCCTATCACAGCAGGTAAACCCTGCTGTTCCCATAAGGTGCCTACTTTTAGGGTGTTGGTGGCTCAGCTGCCACAGACAAGCAGTCCTAGGAGAGAGTTGGTGCCTGGAGGTGGGGGCAGGGAGCACCAGGTGTGTCACTTGCTGTCATCCACAGCACGTGGTGATTGCTGACCACTCGATGAGCGCCAGCCACATGGAGACCACCATGAAACTGCTGAAGACCAGAGTGCAGTCCCGCCTGGCCCTCCACAAACAGTTTGCATCCCTGGGTGAGCTGGTGTCAGGGCTCTGGCTTGAGAGCCACCACTTGTATAACACAGGGACTAAAATGACTTAGCCCGTCACTCGGATTTATTGAACCCTGATGACAAAAGTGGCTAGATTCCTGTCTCTTGCTGAGCAGTGGTGTTGGCAGGGCCACTAGGGAGAGCCACGGGCCCATCTAAGCAGGGACCTGAGCTGCCCTTGGGGCTGCCCCAGAGGAGGCCCAAAGCCTTCTGGGTGGCACATTGAGCAGATCTATCAGGAGCAGCTCATCCTAGGTTAGAGTGCGTCAGACTTTGGGTGTGCATTCTACCACACATATTAGGAGAAGCCCAGTTCATACTCATGGAGCTTATATTCAGCTTACTTGAATACATCCATCCTGTTATCCCTCTTCTAAGACCTACTGAGTTCACATCCTCCAGGGTGAGACTGAGCCCATGCTTTTCATAAGCTCCCAGGTGATTCTTAGGAGCCCTTGACCAAAGTGGTGGCCATGTGGGAGCTTCTTTTCATTTATTCATTCAGTAAATCCTGGTCAAGGGCTTACTGTGTCCAAGGCACTTGCAGGGTAATGAGGGTTAGGATCTTTCTGATCCAGAAGAGTCACCAAAAGGCACTGGCTTTCGGGACCCATCTGGAAACCCCACCCGTCTGGGCTAGGCCTTGTGCTCCACATGGACCCTGATCTCTCCAGGGCAGCACTGCTTGTTTGTTGAGCCTTGCTCCCCATCAGCATTGCTGAATTTGTTTTGTCCTAAGGTTGGATGATTGTCATCCTAGACACTGTTAACTGTTTTGGCACATTGGCTTATTGAAACACCAGCAGGAATTTAGCCTAGAGCGGTTCTCCAGCTCTCCTCCCTTAGAGGAATTGACACGGAACACTTCAGTGTTCAGTTCAGTGTTTCCTCCGTCAAGGTCAGCTGTGAAAACACAGCGCTCACAGCCATTTGATCTAATTAAGGTCAGTGCTGCAGAGGCACTGTCGCTGGCGTTAGCTGCCAGTGGGGGTTGTTTTGCTGGCCATCATTTGCACTAGGGATAAAGCACCCTAAATGCGGTGCTGGGTCTGGCCACAAGCACTTAGCACCGGATGAAGGTCAGGTTGGGGTACCTGCGTTCCTGGCACATGTTGACATGGGCACCTACTGCATGTTGGGTATACCTGGAGGCTGAGCCCTCCAGAGGATGCTAGTTACCCAGCTGTGGCACCTGATTTCCATCTGTGACACAACCTGTCTTGCTTTCTTTTAGAACATGGCTTTGTGCCAGTTGCCAGCGATTGCCAGTACCTCTTCCCTGCAAAGGTTGTCTCTCGCCTGGTGAAGTGGGTGACAATTGCCCATGAGGATTACATGGTAGGTAGAGGGGTGACAGGTCACTGTGCTGTCCTGGGGACTGCAGACCCATGGTCATCTCTCAGCTCCTGCCCCTCTGCCATAAGGGCCATGGATTTGACTAGAGGAGCCAGGAGTTCACTCCTTGTCCGTGATGACTTCTAGGAGCTGCATTTCACCAAAGACATTGTGGAGGCGGGACTGGCTGGGGACACCAACCTCTACTATATGGCACTCGTGGAAAGGGGCACAGGTAATTGCTCTGCTTATCACAGTGGTTCTAGGCTAGGGGAGCCACTAAGAATAAAACACTCCTGGGGGTTGCCTGAAGGAAGTACAAGATCCTGGAATCTTGCCTCAGGGACTTAGCAAGTGGTAATGATTGTGAGAGCCACTGTTCAGCGAGGGCTTGTTATGCAACACGGTCACACCCGTGCTTTATCCGGTCTGGGGGTGGTAATAGTCCCATTTTGTAGGTAAGGAAATTAAGGCTTAGTCATATACACAGTCTGACCTCTGAGCCTGAGCTCTTACCCTTTGCTTTACCACTCTAGAGTCAGATGCCCGTTCTTCCCCCTCTTCATGGATGAGTTGACATGTCATTCCTGGGTTGTGAAATGCAGGGTGGCAGGACCTTCCTCCCTCTCTACAGTTCCTGCACTCACCTTAGAGACATGAAAAACTGATTCCTCCCAGCTGTCCTGGCATATGACTCACCAGGACTTCCTGCTGGAGCTCCTAGGCGCTGCTGTCTGGCCCAGCCTTGGCAGGCCTGGCACTGCCTGCAGGATCTGACCTGTGGCCGCACAGCTGAGGGAACTGACTAGTTTTAACACAGTGTGAGAACTGCAAGGAAAGGTTGAAGTCTTTGTTGTCAGGGTTTCTCTGCCCTGGGGTACTTCTTCTCTCTTTTTCTTTTCTTCATGTGTTTTTAGAATTCTGAAGAAATTAAACTTCTTAGATAGAGTTGAGGCCCCCTGATCCCACTCATTCTTTTACTCATGACAGCTGACTACTATTTGGAGTTTGTGTGTTTGCATCCTGTCCTCTCCCTTTTTCAAAAAGTACTTTCATCTTATCCGTAGACAACATGGAGTACTGTTTTGAAAGGGCACAAAATATGCAGTTCAAGGAATTTTATAAAGCCCCCATGGTGGGAAGTCACCGGATAATATCACTTCTGCTTCTTGGTTGAGCAGACGAAAGCTCGGAAAGGTACATAGAATAAATGTGACAATTAAAATCTGTAGAGTTTGAAAATTCAGTGAAATTTAAGTGACCAAGTGGGCAACAATTCCAAATATATATCTTTAATTCTTTTTGCAACAGATCTGTTTGAAACCTTTACATAGTATGGAACAAAAAAATTGGTGGAGAGAGATAAATCCAGAAATATATACAGTCTGTTACTAGAAACAACATAGCAATAGAGAAAGTAATCACTTTTTAATAAATGTTGTAACTGTCAGGGAAGAATTGTCTTAACATTCTTATCCTCTCTTATCCTCTCTTATCCTCTATTATTTGAATTTCTGGTGGGTTAGAGAGTTCCTTTTCCCCTCATAAATAATGAAAAAGGAATGGAATACTTAGCCCATTGTTGAAGAGGGTTAAATGTCCTATTAAAAAAGGCAGAGACTATCACCAGAGACAAAATGAATGTGTAAAAAAATACAAATATGTCATGTACTGATTATGAAACAGCTCTGACATCAGGCAGTTCTGGTTTAATTCAGCACCACTGTTTTACAACTGTTTGATCTCAGGTTTCTATCAGAACCTGTCTCTTTATATATAAAATGGGGATGTTGATAATGGTGCCCAGCTTTGTAGAACCATTGTTAGGAGGAAATGTCCATAAAGAGCTTAGCATGGTGCTTAGAATACAGTAAATACTCAATAAATATTGGCTATTAAAAAGTTTCACAGTACAAAATACATAACACTAAAACAATAGAAAAAATATATTTGGTGTAACGACTAATATGCAATATTGCTGAAAAGAAAAAACAAGTAGCCTTCACACGGGAAAATCCTTAACTTGCTGGCATATACAGAAATGCCCATTAAAACCAACTTCTGTCAAAGGAACAAATAGAAATCTTGGGCAGACGCAATATGGACCAGACTCTGGGGACTCACACACTTCTGTTTCCTTAGAGGGACCAGAGCCACAGGCCCTAGAGGCCCTCGCATTCTGCAACCTGGCAGTTTTATTTCGAAGATTCTAGAACAATAGCAAAAGTCAGTCAGCACCAGAACATGCTCTGCAGCAGTTGGATCGATAGGAGACATCAGCGCCAACTTCAGGGGCCCAGTGAGGAGGGCGCCGTGGCTGAAAAGCTGGGTCTCGGAACCGGTTTTACCTCCTTTTCCTTCTCTTCCCAGCCAAACTCCAAGCTGCTGTGGTGCTGAACCCTGGCTACTCCTCCATCCCACCTGTTTTCCAGCTCTGTCTGAACTGGAAAGGGGAGAAGACCAACAGCAACGATGACAACATTCGGGTGAGGCCCTGCCAAGCGAGACAGGAAGAGCAGGGAGAGCCTTCTTGCAGAGGCGGACAGCGGCAGAATCTGCCGCAGCGGGGGGCTTGGCCGCTGGAGTGATTCCCAGGACAGAGGGCATGCCAGCGTTTCTCGAATTTGCTGGAGGCTGCCTGGTGTAGTAAAGGAAAGAGCCTAGACAGTCCTAACCACTAACTTGGGGTTACCCCATTTATAAAATAGGAATGACATAAATGTTTGCCTTGAAGGGTTGTCATGGGCTTCTGTGGAAATGTGAATAAACTCAGAAGCATAGAAGTGCTGGAATGAGATGCTGTGTGATATCATTGCAGCTGCGAATTCCCATTAGGCCTAATGATTTGATTCCATAGTGGCCTTATGGCTGAGGAGTATGTTTTTAACCCTAATAGCTTGGCTTGGATCTTGGATTCCTCTCTACACACCTCCATATTCTTGACTGTGGGTGTGCAAGGCAGGGAGAGTTAGGGGTCAGAATCAAGAAGACCCCATTGTCTTGAGGAGAGGAAGCCTCAGGACAAGCCAGCCCAGCTGGATATGGGGTGACCCAGCTCCTGCAGAGGCCCAGCAGCGGTCCTTGTGGGGCCATCGGACCCAGCCGGTCTGAAGGTAGTGCTGAGTTCCTGACTTTCCCACTGCACAGGCCATGGAGAGTGAGGTCAACGTGTGCTACAAGGAGCTGTGTGGTCCCCGGCCCGGCCATCAGCTCCTGACCAACCAGCTGCAGCGCCTGTGCGTGCTGCTAGATGTCTACCTGGAGACCGAGAGCCACGATGACAGCGTGGAGGGGCCCAAGGAGTTTCCCCAGGAGAAGATGTGCCTGCGGCTTTTCAGGTGAGGGGTGCTGGGGCTCTGGGAACCCTTCAGCCCTGCCTTCATGGGGACTTTGGGCAGAGGTCAGAGCCTGGCATGTAGCCTGAGTGGGTTCCCAGGTACACTTGTGTCTGTTCACAGTAGAAATTAAAATCCTGTAGCCAGATTTCCTGGAGAGAGCTTGTACCCTCCTTCCTGGAATATTCCCTGCAGCCCACATCCTGGTCCAGTTCTTCATGAACAGCCTTTGAAGGTGGGCCACCCACTAAGCAAGCGGTACTGGACCATGAACGAAGAGGATTTGGCTGAACTTTACTTTGTATACTTTCTGTGGAAACAGTAGGGTTTGCTTTTTACTGTCCAAATAAGCTTTTTAAAGATATGCGCCCCCACCGGTACTGAGTCTGCTGTACTCTTCCTCAGGAGCCCGCATGCCCCTCTCAGTGGCCCCTTTAGGCACTTTGGTGTTACAGGAGAAGCACTCTGAAGACAAACTCAAGTGCAGGTCTTTGCTTTGCAGCTCACCAGCTGTGCAACCCTGGAAGAGGCAGTGTCAGCTCAGCTCTGGGCCTGTGCCCTAAAGGCTGAAGTGGAAGTATTGGCTCATGATGAACTGGAGATAATTCATGTAAACATGTTTCAAGAACACTTCCAGGCATATACAGGGGCTCAGATAATGTCAGCAGATGCTGACAGCTTGGTGTTCAGCGTGTTGGTGCTCAAGGCACTTCTGGCTGCTTCTCCTTTCCCTTTGGTGTCTGGTCCTTTGTTCTCTGAAGAGTCAATTTCAAAACTCCAGAGTCCACACTGCTCAGCTACCCCTTCCTTTTTGGGCAAGGGGTTTGGAGAAGCGGAAAGGGCTATAATCTATTTCTAAGGGACATTCCCCTGTTCCCTGGTAGTCTAAAATGTTCCTTATCTGCCCCTAACTTTAGGCGGCCAGTTCCAGCCCGAGGAAGCTGTCCCAGCATCCTCCCGCCTCCATCTGGCATCTCCACCTGGCCTGGTTCTTTGTGCAACCTGATAAATAACCAGCTCCAGCCCCTGAGTGGCTGCTAGGAGGCAGAGCTGGCGGCCAGATGGTGGTGCCTTTTAGGACCTGCTCTCCCTAGTGGGTCTGTGTGAGATCTCAGGCTCTTCCCACCCTCCCAGCCAGGGTGAGAGCTCTCACTCGGCCAGTGTTGATTTTGTTATCTGAGGCTCCCAAAGGACCCATTTGCTGAAGTGCCTTGTGTGTTGTGCCTCTCCTCTGTCAAGGCATTCTGGGAAGGCGCTTCTTTGACTACTCAGATCCATTTAGCTCCATGACTGGTGAGGTGTGATGTTCTTGGCCTGGAGTCCAGCTGACTGCTGGGATTGGGCCAGCAGGTTGGGTTGTAAGTGCTGGCCTGGGCAGCAGGAGCCCTGAGGTCTGGTCTGCCCACGGCTGTATACCTTCAGGCCGTGGGTTCTCCATCGTACATGTCGGGGTGACGCTGCGCCCTTGTTGGGATGTGTATGATGTCATGATTATGAACAAAGCTTTTGGGGACAAAAAGACCTAGGTTTTGATTGTAGCCCCTACCTGTGTGGTTAGGATCTACGTTTAGCCCTTCTGATCTCAGATTCCTCAAACAGAATCCACTCAAGTGTTGTTGGGATGATAAAATGAAACCAGATGAAGTGTGTAAACTGCCAAGCATGGTGCAGGCAGAGGAACCTTTCACTTAAGTGGTTGCACTAGTGTTGGAATAAAAGCCTTCTTTCTCCCTTCCTCTCTACAGTCACACACACACACAGTAACACACTCACTCCCTCTGACCAAGATCCTGGGTGTCACCTCTGGTTACCCCTGAAAGTTGATCATAGGCAGGCAGACAACAGAGGCCCTTTAGCTGGATCACTCACTGGGCAGTGTGGAAGAGGGCGCTTTGTGAAGTTTTGCTTGGGGGCCTAGGATGACAGCTGGAGCACCTAGCTCCACAGGGTCAAGGCTTTGGCCACGATTGTCAGCCTGCCTGTGGTCACAGGCTTTGGAGTCAGACCTGGCTTTGAATTGGACTCTGCTATTTTCTGACGATGAAATATTGGGCAGATAGTTTACCTCCCAGAGCCTGTTTCTTCATTTGAAAAATCTATAAAATGATAGAAATAGCATCTAAGAGTTAATAAGTTTAAAGCACACAGCTCTTGGCAGGCACTTAATGCAGATTCTTTTCACTCCCAGACTCCTACCTGCGTGGGTATCTCCCTGCAAAGGAGGATTTAAATTTCTTCTATTTTTTTATTATAGAAATAAAACATGTTTGTTGTTAAACAGACAAGCAACAATAAACAATTGAGTAAAACACTAAAAAGTGAGGGTGCCCAAGCCCTATCCCCAAAAGTGCCCATTGTCAGTGAGGGCCCTTCCAGGTTTGTATGCATGCGTTTGCAAGAATACAAAGACATTTTTACAAAAATGGTATCACACCTTACATAGCATTCCGCAGTCTACTTTTCTCACAATGTTCCTTTCTTTTTCCCTAACAGCTACATAGTTTTCCCCTGTGTGGTTGAATTGTAATTTATTTTATCAGCCCAAAGGGCATGGTGTTAACTTCTCTCTCTCCTCCTGTTTCTCTAGGGGTCCCAGCAGGATGAAGCCGTTTAAATATAACCATCCCCAAGGATTCTTCAGCCATCGCTGACCTCCCACTCGGCCTTGTAATTTCCCCCTCGGCACTAAGTGCTGCACCTCTGTTTTCTGCTCTGGCCCACATGATATTCTCCAAAGACAGTCTTTTTATTTCTAGCCTATTAAAGTGTCACCTGACCAGGTGGCCTTTGTCTTATGGCTCCTTGGGGAAAAGAGTGGCTTGGCAGTCTAGAAGTGCAGGTGGGGGCCATGGCATAGTGTGAAGGAGCGTTTGTGGACAGGCTTTTCTCTAGGTGGCCAAGAAAAACAGTGCAGAAGGTTCTGATGCTGCCCTCCGGTCCACACTCACTTTACTTGTTCCTGCTTTGGGAGGTTCTCATTATCTTGGTGTTTATTATCCTAAGTCCCTGCTGTTGGGACGCGGCAGGGGAAGCATGAACAAACGCTTCTCTTTCCCTTCCTCTCACTCTTCCTACTAGTCGTGTCAGTATCTTGGGTGGCCACATTCTCAGTGCTTGTCGGATGTCACCAGCATCTGACAGCGCAAAGCAAATAGAAGACAAATACAACACAAAGAATAATTGAAAGTCTTGCTGAATTTCATGAGGTCGATGAGAGTGATATTGGAGAATCACATGGAGCTACTGTCCATGAAGATCTGGCAGGGTAAGACCAGGTGACATCTGAGACCTCATGGTGATGACATAATGGATGTCTCAAAGGATTAAGAGAAAGCCTGGGAAATAGGTAACACCTTCTAAAATGATTGCAAAATGACCTCCTTTATAATTCTGTAAAAGTCAAAATGAAGGAGGACATAAAGTTTTCTTAGACAGTTTTGTGAGAAAAATTACACCCCATCCCCATCCCCCCAAAAGAAGTCAGTACCATTATTCATTGTAAGAAATCAGGTATAAAAATGTAAAAATACTGAATTAGTACATAGTTGCAAGTATAATCTGAAGTTTGCTAACTTCAAAGTGAAATTTTGTTTTTCCAGCTTTATTGAGATACAATTGACATGTAACATGTAAGTTTAAGGTGAACAATGTGATAATTGCAAAATGATTCGCACAGTAAGGTTAGTTAATACATCCACCNGGTGAACAATGTGATAATTGCAAAATGATTTGCACAGTAAGGTTAGTTAATACATCCACCACCTGGGATATTTTTTGGAGGAGGGGAAAGAACTTTTAAGATGTACTCTTACAGCAACTTTCAATATACAAACATTTTATTTTTTATGGTAGTCCCAATCAAATGTATCTTTCTTCCATAAAATGTTTTGTAGTTTGGTCTCCAATATATGTGTATTCACTGTAAGTGGACTTTCACTGATTATCCTTGGATAACATGTACCTCTAGTATAAAAGGTGTTTCCTTCTGTCCTCTTAGCTCTCTGCTGAGCACCTCAGTGACAAGGATATTCTGAGAAAGAACTAGGGGACTCCTGGCCCTGCCAGGGCCCTTCATTTTACAGTAGAAGCCTGAGCCCAGTAAAAAAGGGAGAAGGGCACCTCTGGTAGCTGTTTAGATGACTGCCACTATCTGTTCCTCGGCCTACAGCATTCCTTTGAATTCCAGAGGTAGAGACTCTCCAGCCTGGGGGTCCTGGAACTTCAGTGTGTATGAGAGTCACGCATCCTGGAGTGGATTAGAAACACAGGTTCCCACGCCCCACTCTAATATTCGGGCTCAGTAGACCTAACGTGGACCAAGGAAGCATATTTTTAACAGGCTCCCCAGGTGCACATTGCCCTAGTCTCTTTGGAAGTCTCTCCTTTCTTCCTTTCCCTCATTTTTCCTTGGTGACTCCTCAAACAACGCAGGATGGCCGGCTCCCCCTCTTCTGTCTTTTGCACCTTGGGCAGCAGCATAAACCTCTGGGTGCTTCTTTCTCTGCACTTAGTGAAACCTCCTTTGTCTTTTCCCTGACCTGCTTGCCTGGGATTCTGTCCGTGCTAGCATCCCCTTGGTCTGGCCACCTTCAGACCTTGCATCTCACTGCCTGTGCTGAGTTAAGATTGAAATGGAGCCTAAAAATAGTTTGTTTAATGGCCTCTGCATTGCATTCTGTTCTTGGCTGGAAGGCGGCCAACCTGACTCAGCATAAAAGCCTGTCTCTTGCTAGCTGGGACAAGGTTGCAAAGAGGGCTTGAGAGGGCTGGGAGGAGGCTCTCTTTCCTGGACAGAGGATGTCAGAGCCCATCACTTTCCAGAAGAGATTTTTCCCTCTTCAAAGGAGCAGGCCCAACAAGAGTCCTTTGGTCTTAAGGAGAAGGGTTTTAATCTAGTGAGAAGCCCAGGACAATTCAATCCCTTTGAACTACTAACGGTAATTTGGGGCTTGGGTGAGCAGATTAGGGACAAGGAACCTAGTTTGGGAGGGCTTTGAAACTTCCTCCCCAGCCAGAATTGGCGTTGGCCTTCCCTGGGGCACATCCCAGAGAGCAGCCCCTTTCTGTCATCCCACACTTGGGACTCAGTCTAGGTTCCTTGTCTTTTAAAAGCTACCACCCCTATTCTTGGTTTGTTTGTTTGTTCTAGATTTCTTTGTGTCTCTCCTTAATTTTCTTCCCAGCTTGTTCTTCCCTCTCCTGTTTCCTCTATAAATAAATCCGAAAGACCTTTTTTTATTTTAAGGGTGTTCCCACTGATCACTCTGGGGAAACAAAGCTAAAAGCCTTAACTGTGGGAGGGAGCACAGCTGCCACACTTCCGAAGGAACTTTCCCCCCAACTCTGTCCTCTCGGTGGTGTTCAGCAGCCTCTCTGTTAAGAACAGTTGCTTAAGCGTCTGTTTTGGGTCAGGCCCTGTGCTAATCATGACTTTACATTCACTGTCCTACTTAATTACAACTGGGGCCACTAAGGGTATATACATTTCCTTCAATTTAGAAGATGAGAAAGCTGAGGTCCAGAGGATTAAATGATAGCTGTGCTCACAGGGCTCTTGAGCTGCTGCCCAGCAAGGTGTGTCTGCCTCCAGGGCTTTCCTTTTCACAAGAGGAACTTAGGGCTCAAAATAGCTTCGGGCTGGCACTCTTGCTGGACCATTCATTATTCATCTCAGTAACAGAAATTCACCAAGAGTACTATGGTGGTCAAGAGTTACAGCTTAGTGTCAGACTGACCCATCTGGGTCCTTGTGACCCTGGGCAGGTTGCTTAACTAACTCTTAAGTCTCAGGGGTTCTCATCTGCAGTTGGGAGTAGCAGATCTTCCTGTTGGTGATAATGGAGATTAAGTATCCACTCTCAGCACCACGCCTGTTAGCACTGCTCAGCGAAGGGGAGAGATTCTCATTGCTGTCCTCCAGGTTTTAGCCGGGAGAAAGGGCCTCTTTTTTTTTTTTTGGTATCATTCATTTACAGTTACATGAAGAACACTGTTTACTAGACTCCTCCATCACCAAGTTACCCCCACATACCCCATCACAGTCACTGTCCGTCAGCGTAGTAAGATGCTATAGAATCACTACTTGTCGTCTTTCTGTTGCACGGCCCTCCCTGTGTTCCCCCTCCCCCACATTATACATGCTAATCTTAATACCCCCAGAAAGGGCCTCTTGAGTGAGAAGTTTCCCAGGCTCCAGAAGCCCAGCTCTCTGGGCCTGTCCCTCCTTGCCAGCAGCATGTCCACCAGTCAGTGGCTAGGCCATGGTTGGAGCCAGGCTCACATTACCCATTACTTACACTAGGCCAACCGCAGACTCTAAGCCACATATCTGTTCCCTGCTGTCTGTGGGCCTGTGTCCTTGTCCACAGAAGAGGGTCACCTTGACTTCCTAAGCTCTCACCACATCCTGTACCGACTTGGCTTTCTGACTACCTCTGCAGATGACCTAAGATGGGAAAGGAAACTCCAGTACTTCCCCCTGGGCCACTGGAGGACCCTCAGTACATTGTGGAATGAATGAATGGATGAAGATACAAAATATTTCAAAGATGAACTCAGTCTAACAAGTTGAAATGCCAAGTCATACATGAAGGTCTAAAAACCAACCACTCATCCATGTGTGGGATGTAGCAGCAGCTTGAGCGAAGATATGTGGTAGTTTTAGGGAACAACTGTTTAAAATGCCTAATGGGCCCTTGCCCTGGCAATGCAGAGAACTAGCAGATACTGTGAAATTCTATTCCATTTCTTATTCTAAAGGATCATACATATTCCACAGGACCAGTACAATATTTATTTCCCACTGTATCCAGAAGAACTTACAGGCTGGGTGTTTTATGTTTTCCTGATTTCACACATGTTGTTTTCTTATTAAAATTAGATCATAGTGTACAAACATTTTAAATATAATTTTTAGAATAATATGTTCACAAGGTTCAGAAACCAGAAAACCTGAGAAGTGAAAGTATGGTGAGAATTTTTACTGCCAATCTTATCCTCCACTGCCCAGTCCCATTCTCCTTCACAAATAGGCAATCAAGTTGCTTAGTCTCCTTTTAATTCAAAATTTTTAAGCAAACAAAAATTATTTTTCCATTTTTTTCACACACATATACTATACACATTCTGCATCTTCTTTCACATCCTGGACACCATTCCATATCAGTATGGAGGTGTGAGAAGCACCCACATTCTCTTTTTTTATAACTATAGTATTCCATTGAATGGATGTATCATGATTTATTTAATTAGTCTTATTAATGGACATTTGGGTACCACTCTTTGCTTTAGTGAATAGCCTGTGCACAGGGTCATTTCACACATATGCTAATACATCTGGTAGGTTAAATTTTCAAAAATAGAAATACCAAGCAGAGGATATATATATTCATAATTTTGAGGAACACTTGGGTGTTGTTTTTTTAATCAAAAATGTATGTATTGACCCAGGTAACTTAAGAAGTCCAGCAAAGCTTCCCTGCACCAATAGCTCCTACAGTAGTATTGGAATTGGCTCTCACTGGATGGATTTGTATCACATGTGACTCTCTGAACTAATTCAGAGCTGGGAGGATAGCCTATGATCATCAATGCCTGGAACGTGTGAGCATCTCTGGACCCTGGGAACATGGGGTCACCCAAACCACGTGGCTTATAATTAGTTTCTGTGGCTGCTGGAACAAATTACCACAAATTTGGTGACTTAATACAAATTTATTATATCTCTTACTAGATGAGAAGTGCAAAATCAGTTTCACTGCTCTAAAGTCAAGATTTTGGCAGGACTGGTTCCTTCTAGAGGCTCTAGGACAGAATCTATTTCCTTGCTTTTTCCAGCTTCAGGGGAGGCTACTCCTGTTTTCCTTGACTTATCATCCCTTCCTGCATCTTGAAAGTGCATCACTCCAATCTCTGCTTCCATCATCACACCACTTTCTCCTCTGACTGATTCTTCCCTTTAATATGGAGACTTGTGATAGTGGAACTGTCTGGATAACCCAGGATCATTTCCCCAGCTCAAAATCCTTAATCACATTGGCAAAGTCCCTTATGCCATATGCAGTGCAGTAATATTCACAGGTTGCAGGGATTAGGACATGGACATCTCTGGGGGACAACTTTAGCCTGAGAGTGGGGGTGTGTTTTCTCTGTCAGAAAGAGAATGGAAGCTGGAAAGCCAAAAGCCAATAAAGACTCACTAGAATGGAACATATAACAAATTTTATTATGTAACCATTTATGTTTTATTCTTCAATATTTGTTTTTCTACTAGACTGCATGCTCCAGAAAAGGCAAAACACTCTTCTATTTTGCTCACCTCTACACACCCAGGACCTGAGTTCACAGGGTTGGTACATAATTAGAAACCAAGAAGTATTTCTTGAGTGAATTAGTGCATGAGGCTTATCATCTGTTAGGAGAAAATTAAGGTAAAACGTTAAATTTAATGAGTAAACTCATATTTGGGATAGCAAAAAAGGCAGAAAATCATTCTAATAATTATGAATGTACTATATAAAGCAGACATTTGTATATGACTGTTAAAGAATCTCCAGGCTTTAGCAAAAAGCATGGCATCAACTAAAACACTGCCCTCCCCACATCTCCCTCAACCTGCAGGATAGACTATTACCAGAAAGAAGCCAGACACCAGAGGTCACTTATGATTCCACTATGTTGAAATACCCATAATACATTAATCCATACAGACAGAAAACATACACAGATAGTGGTTTCCAGAGGCTGGGAGAAAAGGGGAATGGGAGATTGCTTAATAAGTAAGGGGTAATCTTTTTGGAGTAATGAGAAAGTTCTGGAACTAGATAGTAGTAATGGTTGCATGACATTGTGAATGTACTAAATATAAAAGTCACCGATCATGGTGTATAATCTTTTCAATATGCTGTTGGGTTGCATTTGCCTAGTATTTTACTGAGGACTTTTGCATCTGTAATCATGAGGGATATTAGTCTGTAGTTTTGTTGTGATTCTTTTTCCAGCTTTGGCATTAGGGTAATACAGGCCTCCAAGAATTCTCCTTTCTTTTCTATTTTTTGAAAGTTTGAGAAATATTGGTGTTAATTCTTCTCTAAATATTTGGTAGAATTTACAAGTGAAGTCATGTAGGCCTGAACTTTTCTTTGTGGGTAGGTTTTGAATTATTAACTTAATTTCTATTTATACTAGGTCTATTTAGATTTTCTATTTCTTCTTAAGCCAATTTCAGTAGTTTTTGTCCTTTTAGGAATTTTCTACTTATCTAATTAGTAGGCATATAGTTGTTCACAGTATTCCCTTAAAATCCTTTTTATTTCTGTATTAATGTTTCCTTTTTCATTCCTGATTTTAGCAATTTGAGTCTTCTCTTTTTCTTTATCAGTCTAGCTTAAGGTTTGTCAATTTGGTTGATCTTTCGAAGAACCAATTTTTAATTTCATTGATTTTTCTCTTATTTTTCTATTCTCTACTTCATTAATTTCCACTCCAATCCTGCTTTGGACTTACTTTGCTCTTTTTGCTTTGTTTTAAGTTGGAAAGTTAGGTAATTGATTTGAGATCTTTCCTCTTTTTAAATGTAGGCATTTACAGCTATGAATTTCCCTCTCAGCATTGCTTTAGCTACATTCCATAAGTTTTCTTATGTTATATCCTCATTTTCATTCACCTTGAAGTATTTTCTAATTTCCCCAGTGGTTTGTTCTTTGACCCTTTGGTTATTTAGGAGTATGTTATTTAATTTCCACATATTTATGACTTTCCCAAATTTCCTTCTGTTTTTTTTTCTAATATTATTCCATCATAACTGGAGAACATACTTTGTCCAATTTCAATCCTTTTAAACTTATTGAGGATTGTTTTATGTCTTTTTGGGGGGGTGCTTAAACAGCATAAATTTATTTTTGCATAGCTCTGGAGGCAGAATGGCCCAGATCAATGTCCAGCGGGGTCGGTTTCTCATGAGGACTCTTACTGGCTTGTGGATGGCCATCTTCCCACTGGGCATGGCAGGAGCTTTCTTGCTGTTTTATGTCCTTTCTCTTTTTTTTATTTTGGTATCATTAATATACAATCACATGAGCAACATTATGGTTACTAGATTTCCCCCATTATCAAGTCCCCACCACATTTGTTTTATGTTTTAACATGTTCTATCTTAAAGAATATTCCACATGCATTTGAGAAGACTATGCATTCTACTGTTATTACATGGAGTTTCTATAGATGTCTGTTAGATCTTATTGATAAAAATTACTTTTAAAATTAAAAGCTAGTTTTCTTTTTTTTTTGCGATAATATGTTTACTAATATAGATGTAATATAATTTATTTAACCAATCTCCTATTATTGTATATTCAGGATATTTTCCATTTTTCCAAAATATAAATAAAGCTGAGTGAACATATTTTGTATTTGGGTATTTCTCTACAGACATGATTATTTAGGATACATTCCTGAAAGTGGCATACTTTGGTTAGAGTATCTCAGCTTTTAAGGTTTTTGATATATTTCTTTAGATTGCCTTCCAGGAAGATTTTGTCAATTTTCATTCCAACCATTAGTTCTGGAAAATTCAGGTTCCTCTGTACACCCACTAACACTGGGTATTACTGTTCCTTTGAATCTTCTGCTACATGGACTCAGCCACTGTGGACATTTATTATTGTTGCTGTTCAGCATCCACTCCTTTTTCTTCTGGTAGCAGTACATCTAATTTCCTTTGGAAACCACACCTTCCAAGCTCTCATGAGGGGCCTGACATAATCCCCCAGCTCCAGATGCAGACAAGTGACCATTTCCTATCTCATCAGTGTCCTGTGCATGCCCAGCCACAGGGATTGACTCAACGAGGATCGTCTGACCTTACCAGCCCAATGAGATCCAACTCCTGGACTTTTCATGGAATGTTGACCAAGAGTTCTTTTCTCCCCCTGAGTTTATTGAACTCGTGGGGTGTAAGCCTGAAACTTCTGGAAACCTCATGGAGAGGTTCTGCTTGAGAATGAAGCCTATTCTTAAAAGAAAACAACTGAGAGATGCAGAAATGAGTGACAGCTTCTTGGGGAACATCATTTGAGAATTCCCCTGGATCTAGGTGTATCTGGAGCATTAGTCAACTTTCTTGAATTCCTTGGTTATGTAAGCTAATATATTTTATTAGTAGTAGTAATAGTAGCAGCAGTATTTTGCTTAAGCTAGTTTGCTTTTCTTTTGACCACTTGCAATAGAAATGATGTTGATGAATATGGAAACCTCCAGAGCATCCCCTCAGCAGCTGCTGGGTCAGAATTCTTTGGAGCATGCTGTGAAATTATTAGTGCTGCCCCCTAAAAGACTTCCCACTTTCCTCCCTCCAGGCACTTTGTAGGACTGCTCTGCTCATCCCTTCTGATGTTAGCTATAACTGTGTGAATTGCTTTGGCCAGTGAAATGTTTCCAGAAGAGACCTGTATCACTTCCAGGTAGAAGTTTTAAGAGCCTGTTCGCAATTTCACATTCTCTCTCCCCTGCCTCCATGAACATGGAAGCTGAGTCTAGATGGATCCCCTATTAGCTTGGTTCTTGAGTGACCACTATGAAGAGATCCCTACCAACCCACACTGAATGTGTAGCATGAGTAAGAAAGATGCTTTCTTTGTGTTAAGCCACTGAGATGTAATTGGTTATTATTAGAGACAGAACCTAACCCAGCCTTTCTGAAACAATCCCCTTGGGAAAATGATGAAGGATATTTTTCATCAACCAGATGTATCTGCAGAAAGGGCACATCCCAGAGCAGTCAGCAACTTTCCACATATCATCTGTGTTCCACGGGCCTCTTGACATCTGACAAGCAATTCCTTAGCAGATTGGCTCTACTGGTTTTCCTAAAGTTTGTAATCCTCCCAGAGGGAGGTTGACTTTATGTGGCGGATGGTTAAAGTCAGTCCTGGTTGGTACCAGACCAGCAATCCTGCCTACAGCATTTGAAGCATGTCCCTCTAGAGAAAAAGAAGAGAGGAAGCCAGGTCAAATCCTTCTGCCCTGCCTGTGCCACTTGGAGCTGTCATGAAAAGTGTATCGTCAAGACTTTTAGCATTGCAAATACGTTGACCATCTGGTTTGGGGGCAGTATCCATGTAATCTGTCTCAGGAGAGGACAGAAGCAGGTTGGTACAGTAAGGAAGAACCTGGGCTCTGTGGTCAGATAAGCCTGTGTTTAAATCCAGGTCCAGCTCTTCCTGGCTCTGGGACTTAGGGTTATGTCCACTTCTCAGAGCCTCAATGTCCTCAGCTGAGAAATGTAGATTCAGTAGTGCTTGCTTCACTGGGCTATTGTTAGACTGTGGACCTAACATGTATAGCTCAGGGCCCAGTCATTGGGAAGTATGCAGTAAGTGGAGACCATGGTGGTGCCAAAGCTGATTCTAGTCTGGACAGTTTCCTTCTGTCTTCCGTGAACATCACCTGAGCCAATGATTCATAAGAGCCCCAGTAGCTTTAACACCTATGGTGTCTTTCCTGTGATTTAACAACTGAGTAAATGTAGGTTTTCTAAAGCATGACTGAGGGCAATTTTTTTTAGAAATCAGATTCTTAAAAAATTAATATCCATTTAACTCATACTTTCTCTATAGAACAAATGGGAAAGTATAGCTCTGCTCCCAGCTGGCTATTTGGCCTTAGTTCACTTCTCAGACTTTGAACTGGTAGGGACAGAATCTCTCTCCCGCATTTGTACCTGGAAGGACGCAAGCCCATAGCTATTAGGATCTCCATGAAAAGAAGTCCTTACTGAGAGAGAAGCTGTATTCATTATCTATTTTTGTGTAACATATTAACCCAAAATGTAGTGGCTTAAAACAATAACATATATCCAGGTACAGTTTAGCTGGGTGCTGCTCCCTTAAGGTCTCTCACAAAGCTGCAGTCAGGGTGTTGTCTGGGGCCGCAGTCTCATCTGAAGGATCAACTGGGGAGGATCTGCCTCTGTGCTCACTCATATGGTTGTTGGCAGGGCTCAGTTTCTTGTTGGCCTGAGGGCTGCAGTTCCTCACTGGCTGTTGATCAGAGGCCTCCTTTAGTTCCTTGCCATGTGGGCTTCTCCTTAGAGCAGCTCAGAACATGGTAGCCAGCTTCCATCAGAATGAGCAAACAAGAGCGTTTGCTCAAGATAAGGTTTGAAGGAGGGTCGGTTTCTCATGAGGACTCTTACTGGCTTGTGGATGGCCATCTTCCCACTGGGCATGGCAGGAGCTTTCTTGCTGTTTTATGTCCTTTCTCTTTTTTTTATTTTGGTATCATTAATATACAATCACATGAGCAACATTATGGTTACTAGATTTCCCCCATTATCAAGTCCCCACCACATTTGTTTTGTTTTAACATGTTCTATCTTAAAGAATATTCCACATGCATTTGAGAAGACTATGCATTCTACTGTTATTACATGGAGTTTCTATAGATGTCTGTTAGATCTTATTGATAAAAATTACTTTTAAAATTAAAAGCTAGTTTTCTTTTTTTTTTGCAATAATATGTTTACTAATATAGATGTAATATAATTTATTTAACCAATCTCCTATTATTGTATATTCAGGATATTTTCCATTTTTCCAAAATATAAATAAAGCTGAGTGAACATATTTTGTATTTGGGTATTTCTCTACAGACATGATTATTTAGGATACATTCCTGAAAGTGGCATACTTTGGTTAGAGTATCTCAGCTTTTAAGGTTTTTGATATATTTCTTTAGATTGCCTTCCAGGAAGATTTTGTCAATTTTCATTCCAACCATTAGTTCTGGAAAATTCAGGTTCCTCTGTACACCCACTAACACTGGGTATTACTGTTCCTTTGAATCTTCTGCTACATGGACTCAGCCACTGTGGACATTTATTATTGTTGCTGTTCAGCATCCACTCCTTTTTCTTCTGGTAGCAGTACATCTAATTTCCTTTGGAAACCACACCTTCCAAGCTCTCATGAGGGGCCTGACATAATCCCCCAGCTCCAGATGCAGACAAGTAACCATTTCCTATCTCATCAGTGTCCTGTGCATGCCCAGCCACAGGGATTGACTCAACGAGGATCGTCTGACCTTACCAGCCCAATGAGATCCAACTCCTGGACTTTTCATGGAATGTTGACCAAGAGTTCTTTTCTCCCCCTGAGTTTATTGAACTCGTGGGGTGTAAGCCTGAAACTTCTGGAAACCTCATGGAGAGGTCCTGCTTGAGAATGAAGCCTATTCTTAAAAGAAAACAACTGAGAGATGCAGAAATGAGTGACAGCTTCTTGGGGAACATCATTTGAGAATTCCCCTGGATCTAGGTGTATCTGGAGCATTAGTCAACTTTCTTGAATTCCTTGGTTATGTAAGCTAATATATTTTATTATTAGTAGTAATAGTAGCAGCAGTATTTTGCTTAAGCTAGTTTGCTTTTCTTTTGACCACTTGCAATAGAAATGATGTTGATGAATATGGAAACCTCCAGAGCATCCCCTCAGCAGCTGCTGGGTCAGAATTCTTTGGAGCATGCTGTGAAATTATTAGTGCTGCCCCCTAAAAGACTTCCCACTTTCCTCCCTCCAGGCACTTTGTAGGACTGCTCTGCTCATCCCTTCTGATGTTAGCTATAACTGTGTGAATTGCTTTGGCCAGTGAAATGTTTCCAGAAGAGACCTGTATCACTTCCAGGTAGAAGTTTTAAGAGCCTGTTTGCAATTTCACATTCTCTCTCCCCTGCCTCCATGAACATGGAAGCTGAGTCTAGATGGATCCCCTATTAGCTTGGTTCTTGAATGACCACTATGAAGAGATCCCTACCAACCCACACTGAATGTGTAGCATGAGTAAGAAAGATGCTTTCTTTGTGTTAAGCCACTGAGATGTAATTGGTTATTATTAGAGACAGAACCTAACCCAGCCTTTCTGAAACAATCCCCTTGGGAAAATGATGAAGGATATTTTTCATCAACCAGATGTATCTGCAGAAAGGGCACATCCCAGAGCAGTCAGCAACTTTCCACATATCATCTGTGTTCCACGGGCCTCTTGACATCTGACAAGCAATTCCTTAGCAGATTGGCTCTACTGGTTTTCCTAAAGTTTGTAATCTTCCCAGAGGGAGGTTGACTTTATGTGGCGGATGGTTAAAGTCAGTCCTGGTTGGTACCAGACCAGCAATCCTGCCTACAGCATTTGAAGCATGTCCCTCTAGAGAAAAAGAAGAGAGGAAGCCAGGTCAAATCCTTCTGCCCTGCCTGTGCCACTTGGAGCTGTCATGAAAAGTGTATCGTCAAGACTTTTAGCATTGCAAATACGTTGACCATCTGGTTTGGGGGCAGTATCCATGTAATCTGTCTCAGGAGAGGACAGAAGCAGGTTGGTACAGTAAGGAAGAACCTGGGCTCTGTGGTC